CATGTTACACAATAGGCATGTTAAAAATAAAAGTCAGCTTTAATTTTTAATTAAGAGAATCTGCCTTCTCCTCTGAAACTCCCTTTCCAATACAGCTCATCGACGACAATCAGCCTGGTGCCATTAGCGGGGGAAAAGCAAGGGAAGGACCAGAAGAGCGGCTGGCCGCTTTCCAAATCGCAACATGCTCCGATTTCCCCTTTAAAAAAAAACCCAAACCAAACAGGCTTTAGGGCTTAGTTTTTCCCCATGCAGCTTGTCTATTTAATATCCAGCCGCAAACCCAACTCCTGATTTCCAAAAAGAAACCCGACAGATGAGGAGCAATTACAGGGAGGGCAGGGAGCAGCCGGCTGCCCTGGCTCTGCCTTCCCAGCAGAGGGGAAAAGCCCTTCCCAGAAGCATGCGAGTCATTTGGAGTTTAATTAAACAGCTGCTAAAGCACGCTGGGGGGGGAAATATCACCCGAGGTTATTTGACTGTAGGCGTCCCGGGAGCCCAAAGCTTTCCAAATAGCTGAAGGATCGTGAGCTTGAGGCAAAGCAAACAGGATGCTCGGATGCATGTTAATATTTAAACCGCAGGAAGAAAGCAAGTGGGAATGAGGGTTTTGAAAGGCTGAGGAAAGCAAAAGGTTGCTGCGAGGTGAAGCCTGTGGAATAGGTGTAAAAATACACTATTCATAGCCCATGACTCATTTGCTTGAAACCACCCTGGCCATTCCTATTTTTAAGAATGGCGGTGCTCGAGCGAAACCGAGCTCTGGCTGGGAAAAAAAACCCCAAAAAACCAAACACACAAAACCCAAAAAAACCCTCTGAAGTTCTTTTGCCTTTCCAGAGCCACCACAGTTCTCACCTTTCCGTCGTTGTTGCAGGGGTCCTGCGCTTGCCACTGAGGCTGCATTTGCACCTGCACAGACAGACACATGGGACACTGTTAGATGCACGGTCCAGCGTGAAAACCAAAGGTGCTGCGGCAGCTTTGATGCATCAGCAGCCTCCTGCCACCGAGCGCGGGTCGGTCAGATCAGGGAGCTCTGCCAAATTTTTGGGGATTTTTTTTTTGCGCACTGCAGCAAGAGGTTTGCAATGCCAAAAAAAAAAAAAAAAAAAATCCTAAAAGCTCCTGTGTACTTGCAGCCCTTTAGGATGCAGCTCAAGCACCGACATCCTCTTGGATGTGGGAGGATGCTCTAAGCAGCTCAAGGTGTCTGAAGGTCCCTCCTACAAGGGAGAAAGGGGGACAGAAGGGAATGGGTGCAGAAGAAGACATAGGCTTGGCTTTGTTTTCTTGTCACAGCTGCTCTCAACAGCTCTGTTTGAACTGGTTGGTCCCATTTTCTGCCTTCATTTTACTGTACCGCAATAAAAGCTCAACTCAGACAAATAGAAACTGCAGCTGCTGTGCTAATGTTAGGAAGGAACAGCCATGGGCATTAAAAAAAAAACTCCCTTGGGTGATGCTTTCCTGTAATTCCTCCTGCAGCAACCAGGCGGTAATAAAAGCCAGTGGCAGGTTTGCTGCTGCATCAGCCTGGCTTTGGGCAGCCCTGCTTGGGTTGGGTTTTCTTGCCCCAACACAAACACGACTCAAACTACTGCTGTTGGGTTTTTTGGGTTTTTTTGTTTGTTTGTTTTTGTTTTTTTTAAAAAAAGGGAAAATTCAGCAGGGAGCTGGGGTAGGATCAACCTCTGCAGAGGGCAGCTGCACACCCTCTTGGGATCGGAGATAAATTTAGTACGAAGGCCACCATTTCCCGGATTCCCTGCTGAAAGATGACACCCAGCTGACACCAGCCCTATTCCCAGGTCTGTTACGCATCCGTAAGGGATGCGGGAGGAGAAACCCCAGCGCACGAGGCAGGGTGGGCCGGGCAGGGCAGCAGCCCCGTGCAGGCGATGCCGCGGGTGGATGGAGGTGTCGGGGGGATGCTCTCGCTATGGTCCCCACAGGCGCAGGGAGGATCCGGCCAGATGAGCAGCTTCATGGTGCACGTGGTGTTCGGGGGTCCACCTTCAGGGCAGACCAGACCTTGGAAGGCAAAACACTGTTGGCCAGGCCATGAGGTCTTGCCAAGGTGGCAGAGAGACACAGCGATGGTGTGCAGGTGCTGCAGAGTGGGGGGCAGGATGGGAAGGGCAAGAGGGTGCCCAGCACCCTGGGGCGGAGTGGAAAAGGCCAAATGTCTTTTCTCCGTGTCCTTCACCTCACTGGCCAGGTTTCAGAAGAGCGTTCGGCTGTGGAGCCGGTGTCCCTCATCACAAGGCAGCCCTGGAGAAGTGCTACTCAAGTCAAACCTCACCATGATCCAGGACGGGCAATGCCAGGTTCGGGGACAGTTTAGACGCCAAGACAAAAATGCAGCTGTCCGTGGAGGAAGCAGCTCTTCCCCACTGGCCCCAGCCATTCATGGGCCAGGTGCTTCTCCAGCAGGAGAGAGAGTCTCCATGACAGCTCCTGGTGGCTTCTCCTTTCTATGGATTTGCCCAGCCACTTTTTCAACTCAAACCACAATGAAGAGTTTCATGAAGCCATGATGAAAGTTTCCAAACTCAACTACAGGCTGAGTAAGTCAGTACCGAGTCTGGCTTGTTTTGACCCCACCATCTTCTAGTTTCATCTTACACTCCCAAGCCCAATATACTGCAAATACACAGACCCAAGAAGACATGGCTACCACAGCAGGGAAACCTCAAGTATAACTGCATCAACCATAAAGTTTATATTTTTGTGTTTATAATTATTTATACTTGTATTACTTTATAAGTCATTGAATTTTTATTGCATGTTCTCTAGTCTGATTCAAACCCAACCTCGTTTTGCCAAAAAAACAACTCATGTTTTAGAGCAGACCTGCAGGAAAACAGTGATGCCCACCCCTGCAAAACCCAACCAGCCCAACCCCTTCCCATGGTCTCTGGCCACTTTATCCTACAGCTTTATGCCTGAAATAAAGCCTGATGCAAGTCCAGAAGGAAAAATGACATGCAATTTCGGTTTTTGCCCTGGCTGCCTGGACACTTCCCAGCCCTTGGACCGCAGCCCCCCAGCTGGGAAATCTTTCCAACAGCTTCACCCTCACTCTGCTGCTGACGCGCGAGGTTAACGCGGCACAAAGCGAATTGCTACTACTGGGGCCAGCCCAGTTCTGCTTTGCCAAAAGAGGAAACGAAGGGGATAGGCAGGAGCTGTCGGGGGCTGGATTTGGGGAACGCTGCTCAAGGCTCTTGACCCCCTCCAGGGTTTTGACCTGCAAAAGAGGAAGAAAAGGAGCGAAAAGGCACTGCCACAGCCGCGTGCCTGGGCACGGGGCTGCTTTCACATCCTCTTCTCCTCCAGCACGCCCCAAAAGCCCCACAGCTTAACCTCACACCAGCCCCAGCCCCGACATATCTGCTGATTCATGGGATTATCCGCAGCATGCAATTAGCCACGGACCTAAATCTCGTTGGGCTCAGGGCTGCAGCCTCTCCCTCTCCATTTTCAACATCTCCCTTATTAATTTTTTTTTTTTTTTTTAAGCTTTGTTGAGGCTGTGCTGCTAAACGCCCTGAGCAAGGCCGTTTGCTTCCTCTCCATCCATTCCCTGAAATATTTCAGTTGAGGCCACCAGAGCCATAAATAAAAAGATAAGAGCTTAAAGCATTGCTCACAGTAGGACACATGGTAGCCAACATGGCCAGCTGTGCCAGCAACGCCCCAGGCCAGCCTGGGCGAGCACGGACACCCTTTGGTATCTGCAAAATGCTGTTATGCACCCCGAAAAAAAATCCCATTACCCAGTGCCTGCATTGCACTGAACTTTTCTGGTTTTAACCCCATAATAGAGAATTTCAATTTTCTGGGATAGCAGTGAAAAAACCTCTCCCTTTCCCGCCCCTCCACCCTCTATTTTTGTTGTTCTCAGCACCACTAATTTGGGGTGAGCCTGTGCTCGCTAAACAGTGCCCGGGCTCGCATGCCACTGCCCGGCAAGCCTGCCTGCAAGGGGAGATTCTGCAAACCTCAAACCTGAGAGGCGTTTGTGGCCAGGACCAGCCTTTAACAGGAACCCTGTAAGTCAAACACACCCCAAAAAACCTTCCCACAGCCACCGTGCTCGCTGTATTTTCTGGATCAGCTGAAAAAAAACCCCTACTAGCAAAGCGATTCAGAGGGCTAATCTCGTTTTAACCTAAATTCATTCTGCGCGATGCAAAACCAGCATAATCTCCTGCAGCTACAAAAGCTGGTGAGCCTTCAGCGGAGCTGTTCCCTACCTGAAGAAAAATGTTCCTGCCACGTACCGTAACGCTCCAGAGACTCCCATTAATTCCCCTATTCCTATCAGGGATTGTAAATATTTAGATTTCGGAGCCCGGAAGGCTGCTGAGGGAATGGGGCACTAGGAGAGAGAGCAGCTTGGCCTCCACAGGTTTCACAGGCTGAAGCCAGACACCAAAGCAAGGATCTGGGACGGGATGGCGAAGGGAGGCTGGCTCGGTTTAGGGTACCAATTCGCTGTCCGAGAGCTACGTCAGCCAATAATGCAATTTCTACCTATGAATTGGGGGTGTTGGTGCCTTCTCATGACACAGGACCGTGTGGAGAGATGGAGGAACCCTCTTTTGCACCCAGGGATGCCACGCAGGGCCAAAGGCATCACGGACAACACAGCCACCCGTGCATCCCTCTCGGGCTGACCTAGGACACGCTGGCACATGGCGGATGCTCACTGCTGGCTCGGGTCACCCAGGGGCATCGTGCCCTTAGCAGTAGGGAGGATGCATGAATGTGCATTACCTATGAGAGTCCTCACTCCCTCCACAGCACAAAAAAAAGTTCTTTTTATTATTTTCTGTTGGGTTTTTTTAGTGGTTGGTTTGGTTTGTTTTTTTTTTTTTTTTCCTTCAAGACCGCTTTCACAGGGCTGGTTGCTGGAGAGGCGCAGCGCAGCACCCACACCTGCCACTAGCGGGGCAACCTGCTCCTTTGGCTCAAACCAGTTGGGGATGGAGAGAAACCGCCTTGATTTGTCTGCGTTTGGACGGACAAACCACCGAGAGCCAGACTTGGCTTAGCTCTAATTAAAGGCTTTCCAACCAGCAGATTAAAAAAACAAAACAAATGAAGCGACCTCAGTGCCTGCTCCTATCACTGAGCAATCGCCTCCCCCAGCCGCTCGTGGTCCGGACCAGCGCAATGCAGCTCAGCTGCCGGCACAAGCTCCAGGGATTCGGTCTCCCTTGCACAAGCTGCTTCCCACGGCTTTCTGCATCCCTCCCAGGGCCACTCCACCACCACCCACATCCACAGCATGGGAGCCAATTCAGGGAGAGGAGGTAGACAGGTTACAGCAGGTAATACCTTGCAGAAACACACTCTGCTGTCACACTGAATCTGCACCCTGGGGTGCTTTCAAAGCTTTGACACCCACGCACCGCTTCAGCACAGCAACCAGTCCAGGACCTTCAGGGCAGGGGAATGGCCAACACCTAAGACTCATCATGAGGGATGCTCACCCAACAAAGCCCAATCATCAGACGCCTGGGGGAGGAAGATGTACCACCTCGGATGAATCTGTCAAAAAACACCTCCTCTGCTGAAATGAGATCCATTTCTCATGTGGACCCACCAGAGCCACCTGCTCAAAAGATCAGCAACCCAATTATACCAATTTCCAGGAAAACAAACGAAAGCTGCAGGGGACCACCAGGCTCCAGGTGCTGCTGGATGCTGGGGCACACAACACACTGTTTTAAAAAACAAAGAGAAATGCCCTCCAGGAGAGCTGGTTGGGAAGTCCAGAAGACTTGGGTTTGCTCATTCTCCGGAGCATCTGCTTGCTATATTTTCAGTTACGGGCACACATCTAAGGTGAGCAAATGGCTCGTGGGTACTCTGTCGTTGGGAGTACAGCATCCTGATGGGTCACCTGATACACCCTGTTCCTGGAGCTAACAATCAACATTTTTGTGCTGTTTGAGAGGCAGCACCTGATAGTCTTGGCCAAAACAGCACAATGCTCAGGAGCACTGAGCACTGCACGGTCCAAGTCTGTTAATTAGGCATGCTGATGAGCGAGCCCCACATTTTATCTCGTGTCCTAGCCCAGCACTTTGCTGTGGCATTCAAAGTCAAAGCAGTAACTAGGAGGACAGAGGTTACTACCAGGAGAGCAAGAGGATGACGTGTCCTTCTCGGACATTGCATATACTGGAAACTTCAATTCACATGTGCAAAATGACAATTTTCTTGGCCTCTCTTCTTTTCCTAACCATATCTCTATCTCAGGATCTTAATTTCATTCTTTCCATCCTTGATACTAAAAAAAAAAAAAAAAATAATCTTGGATCATGGTAGGAAATAAGAAAGCTACACGCTGCTTCATTACCAGGAGCTGGAAGGAAGAGAACAGCAACTGTATAGGAGCAGGAGCGATTGGGCAACTGGCAAAGCAAACCTATCCAAAATTTGGGCAGGAGACATGGGGTGATGCTTGCACACACCTGACTCGGGGTCTCTCAAAAACACAAGCCCAGGACTCCTGCTAATGCACCAAGCCCTGTGATTTCACACTATGGTTATGAGGGACCAAGATGTTCGGTGCACTAAATGGAGTCCCGCGGGATATGTGACATGGTGAAGGGACCACAGTCCTTCAGGGAAGTTTGGGATGGTCGAAATGGGATTTGGGAATCCCCTGCCCTGACAAATGCTCTGCCCCACAGTCTTTGCTATACACGAAGGTCCACCTTTCCAGGCCCCCACCAAGTACCCACGGAGGTTTGCAGGCACCCACCCGTTCCCCTTGGGGTCTGGGTCACCGCTACAGCCAACGGGAAATGTTTCACCAACTGGTTTAGGGGGAAGAGCCCTCCCTTGACCACCCTCACCTCCATCCATGTGCTGTCTCACTGGCTTCCACGTTCCAAAGCAGCCCCCTCCATCACCTTTACAAACACTTCCTGAAGACCACTGAATTATCAGAGAAAAAAACCCAAAAGCACACTGACAGGTAAAGCAGAGGTGGCCAAAACAAACTGCAAAGGTCACCAAGGCACCTCCCGACAACTTACACCTGGCCAAGACCCTACTGCAGGATGCTCTGCAGCAATTTACTTATTCTCCCAAGACATGGGACAGGTTGTTTTAAGGCCAGAGCTGCCGAAGAAGAGCAACAACCCTCGAGACAGCACACATGGACTCCCCCATGCCACCAGTCACCACCTCGGAAGAAGCAACTCGCTGCTCAGCAATGGCAACACTTAGTGCTCAAAGATGCTTGGCCCTTCTCACAAAATCCTGGGTATTTAGTTATAGCATTTAAGAGCAAGTTTAAAGGGGGATGCTTTTTCCTCCACATCCCCAACACGAGGGCTCAAGTACCAGGTCCTCCTGGTAACCTTCAAAGATAGAGGCAAACCACAACGCTCAGGACTCAAGAGCTTGTCAAAACTTTGATGAGGTCTTGAGCAAACTTTGGCAAAGCTTCGCTCAAAAGCAACGTAAAGCTTAAATACAAGCCCCTGAGGAGCTCCGGGGGGAGAGAGAGTCCAGTTACCTGGCTGTTAGCTAAGCTCAAGGCCGCAGCTGGGTGCCACGCACCCACGTGCTCACCAGGGCCAGACAAGACGCGCACCACATCAGACAAGAGCGCACGAAGCCCAGCCCGTCATTACCGGCGTGGTGTCCTCCATCAGGCCTCGGATCTTCTCCACCACGTCGTTGCGGCGGTGTTGGCGGAGGGCGCTGATGAGCTGGGCCAGGCTGGCCTCGGGCCCGCGGATGGTCCAGTGCTGCAAGGCGGCGTAGGCGCGCTCGTGGTCGGCC